TGACGAAAAAAGAGTAGACCCTCACAGCCATCAGGATAGCTACTATAGAAAGAAAGAAAGAAAGAAAGAAAGGAGGGAGGGAGGAAAAATAACAAGTGTTGGTGAGGATGTGGCAAACTGAAACCCTGTGCACTGTTGGTGGGAATGTAAAATAGTGCAGCCACTATAGAAAACAGAATGGTGGTTCCTCAAAAAATTAAAAATAGAGGGACTTCCCTGGTAGTCCAGTGGGTAAGACTCCGAGCTCCCAATGCAGGAGGCCCAGGTTTGATACCTGGTCAGGGAATTAGATCCCTCATGCCTCAACTAAGAGTCTGCATGCCACAACTAAGAAGTCCACATGCCGCAACTAAGACCCAGCGCAGGCTAAATAAATAAATATTAAAAGAAATTAAAAATAGAATTACCATATGGCCCAGAAATTCCACTTGTGAGTGTACACTCAAAAGAATTTAAAGTAGGGTCTTAAAGAGAGATATTGGGGCTCCCCTGGTGGCACAGTTAAGAATCCGCCTGCCAAGCAGGGGACACGGGTTCGAGCCCTGGCCCGAGAAGATCCCACATGCCGCAGAGCAACTAAGCCCATGTGCCACAACTACTGAGCCTGCGCTCTAGAGCCCACGTGCCACAACTACTGAAGCCTGTGCACCTAGAGCCCATGGTCCACAACAAGAGAAGCCACCGCATGTGAAGCCCACACACTGCAATGAAGAGAAAGCCCGCGTGTAGCAACGAAGACCCAACACAACCAAAAATAAATAAATTTTTTTAAAAAGAGAGATATTTGTACACCCATGTTCATAGCAGCATTATTCATAGTAGCCAAAAAGGTGGAAGCAACCCAAGTGCCTACCAATGGATTAGTAGATAAGCAAAATATGGTCTATACATACAACAGAATATTATTCAGCCTTAAAGGAAGGGAATTCTGCTATAACGTGATGAACCTTGAGGATATTATGCTAAGTGAAATAAGCCATCACAGCAAAACAAATATTGTATGATTCCATTCACATGAGGTCCCTAGAGCAGTCAAATTCATAGAGACAGAAGGTAGCAGGGTGGTTGCCAGGGCTGAGGGGGAGTTGGGAATGGGGAGTTGTTATTTAGTATTGAGTTTCAGTTTTGCAAGATGAAAAGAGTTCTGGAGATGGATGGCGGTGATGGTTACGCAACAGTGTGAATGTACTGAACACTACTGAACTGCCCACTTAAAATGTTTAAGGTGGTAAATTTTGTTATGTGTATTTACCACAACTAAGAAAAACAGACTGGAAGTTTCTCACTCAAGTGCCTTGGATTTGGTCCAAAAGGCTGACCAGCTGTGTGTCCTTGGGTGTCACTATTCCCATAAATGGTTTTTCCTGTGTAAACGGAAGAGACAAACAAGACAGAATATGGGAATCTGCTTTAGGAGCCATTGCTGGGGTACAATGTCTGGTCAGGGAGAATGCCCTGCCCCCTTGGGGATGAACTCCCCAAGCTTCCAAAGGGAGGGAAGTGAATGACGATGAAAAGAACAGGCTAGAACAGAATGGCAGAGGCGCGCGCCAGCCCCTGGAGCTCAATCAAGCCCCGTTGCCTCGGTTGCTGGAACGCTCCCAGGATGCTCTGACCCTCAGGACAAACTCCCAGCCCCTGAGCCTGTGATCAAGCCCTTAGCAGTCTGTGTCTTGCTCACTCCTCCGGGTTTGGTCACTGCCGTTCTGGGCTCCTACTTTCCACTCCAGCACATACACCAGTTCATAATTCCCTCCCACACCTGTACTTTTAAAATCCCCTCTTTTGAGAGTGCCCTGCCCAGCCCACAGCCCTCTGCCTGGAGGCCATACTCCTCCTTTGTTCCTCATCACCATCTCTGCGAAGACTTCCCTGGCCTCCCCACACTGCTCCTCTGTGTTCCAGCGGCGCCCGCCCCCCAGCCCTTACCATAGGTAATGCCATTTATTTCACTTTTTCATGAAATACTTAGTGGGCACCTATTGTCAGCCAGGTACTATTCTAGGCTCTGAGGGGATAGCAACGAAGAGAACAGCCAGAAGTCCCTGCCCCTGAGGAACGCATATTCTAGAAGGACCTCTCCCCTGGGCCTGTGTGCCATCTTCAGTGGGGAGCGCACAGCGGGGCCCCAGCCCTTGGTGCCCAGGTGCTGAGTGGCGGGGGTAGACGACCCTGATGCAGCCCACCAGAGTCCAGCAGGGTCCAGGAAGAGCTGAAATCGCGCAGGGAGAGGGAAGCAGAGGAGCCACGGAGAGTGCTGAGGCAGAGGGAGAGGGGCGGGGCTGTGCTCCGCGCCTTCCCTGCCAAGTCACCTCCTGGGTTTCTTCCCTGGTCCACAGAGTGTTTTACCACCCGCTTATCTTTGCCCTAATAATAAAGGGCATGTACATGTAAGAAGCTGTTCGGTAGTCTGGTCTTGGTCCATCACCCCTAAAAGGCAGACCTAAGCACCCCAGATGCACGCACACCCCTCCGCCCGGGTACGGTGTGGATGTGGTACCAGATTGGCTGACTGAGTGAGGTGGTGCCCGAGAGGCTGGATCTCACCAGCTCTTCTGATTATTCAGATGCAGCCAGCTGGGCAGATTACTCAGAGCAGCCTAAGCTGTTAAAATCTCCCATCATCTGTCCCCAGCCCTTCACCACGACTCCGCCTCTGCCCTCATCTCCTGACGCCACTCCTTCCCCCTTCCCTCACCTCCTCCAGGTCTCTCCCCAAATCTCATCTTGTCGGTGAAATGGCCTCATTCCCTCCTTTTTAATACAGCAAAGCTTCTACTTTTGTTCTCCCTTTCCGGCCCACACTGTTTACTTTTCTCCACACACTTAATCCCATCCAACGTTAACAGAAGCGTGCTGGAACCGACTCTGAGGGCTTACAAAAGCCTATGACATTTTTAGGAACTTGGTTGGCTGGTTGTTAAGCAATGCCATCACTAAAAATTAAATTATACCAACTTCATCAAGTTAATGATATTAAAAACAAAGGTGAGGGGCTTCCCTGGTGGCGCAGTGGTTAAGAATCCACCTGCCAATGTAGGGGACACGGGTGCGAACCCTGGTCCGGGAAGATCCCACATACCACAGAGCAACTAAGCCCATGCACCACAACTACTGAGCCCACGTGCCACAACTACCAAAGCCCGAGCACCTAGAGCCCGTGCTCCACAAGAGAAGCCACCGAAATGAGAAGCCCACGCACTGCAACGAAGAGCAGTCCCCGCTCACCGCAACTAGAGAAAGCCCGCGTGAAGCAACGCAGACCCAACACAGCCAAAAATAAATAAATAAAAAATAAATTAATTTAAAAAAAAAAAGATAAAAACAAAGGTGAAAAATGCTCAAACTCATCACTTTCTAATTTTTACTACCTTTTGCTATTATCTATGACCTTGAGAATCTTTACAGCTGTAGAAATATGGTAGAAATATATAATATATAATGGCATGCTACTGTGCATTTCTTTTCAACTCTGCATTCATTGACATCACACTGGTAGCTTGAAATCGGCCCTGGTAGGAGTATTTACACCACAGAAATAGGCAAGTATGATAACTCAGGTTTTGATTTATTGTTCTGTTGATTGTCTAGACCAGCAGTTGGCCATGGGCCAAATCCAGCCCACCAACTATTTCTGTAAATAAACTTTATTGCAACACAGCCAGGCCCACTCATTTCCATATCTGTGGCTGCTTTCACATCCCAAGAGCAGTTGAGTAGTTGCAACTACATGGCCTGCAAAGTCTAACATATTTACTGTCTTATTCCTTACAGAAGAAATTTGCCTACCCCCGGTCTAGCCTTAAGAAAGTAACGGAGGAAATGTTAATAATGTAGATTAAATGTAAATATGTTCTGTCTGTAGCTGCTACAGGCAGATCTCATTTTATTTCGCTTTACTGCACTTCACAGATAGTGCGGTATTTACAAATTGAAGGTTTGTGGAAACCCTAGTTGAACAAGTCCATAGGCACCATTTTTTCAACAGCATTTGCTTGCTTCATGTCACTGTGTCACATTTTGGTAATTTTCACAATATTTCAAACTTTTTCACTATTATACTTGTTACAGTGATCTGTGACCTTTGATGTTGCTGCTACGACTTGCTGAAGGCTCAGATGATGATCAGTGTTTTTTAGCAATTAAGTATTTTTAAATTAAGGGATGTACATTTTTTTAGACATAATGCTATTATTGCACACTTAACAGACTACAGTATAGTGTAAACATAACTTTCATATGCACTGGGAAACCAAAAGATTCAGGTAGCTCGCTGTATTGCAGTGGTCTGGAACCGAACCTGCCATATCTCTGAGGTATGCCTGTACATTGAAAATAGCCACACACGCGCAAAAAAAGCTGAGCAAATATACTCCGGGTGTTTGAAAACTGTGACCTAATACAGCAGAGAAGTCGATCAGGTCATTGAGAAATGAGTTGAATTCCAACATCTTTGTTCTTTCACTTTTTCACTTTCTTACATCAACATTCATGTTGGAACTACACTTGTTCATCAGTTATAACCATAGGTTGACTATGGATGCAAGAGTTAGGCAAAATTCAAGAAAAGTATACTGTAAGAATAAACTGGCTATACCGAATTCACAATAAAGAGTATTGTAGAATTTTATTAGGTTTCTTTCAGTAAAATTTATGATAAACACACATTCACACACACATATACACACTTTGTTTCAGAGAGCCTATTGTTAAACCTTTACAAGCACACACATTCTCCACTAGAATGTAAGTTCCTTGATGGTAGGAATTGTTTTTTTTTTTTAATCCAGCGCTTAGAACACACCTAACACATAGCAGATACACAGTCAACATATGTGACATGAATCAACATATGAGCATAGTTGGGAACCCACGTTTCATGGGTTGACGGTCAGACCTTACGTTTCCAGCTCCAACATTATCCAGCTGTGTGGATAAATTATTTAATTTCTTTGAACCCTGGGTTCTTTATTAAAACAAACAAACGAAAAGACGGGGGAATCTTCCTACCTCACAGGGAGATGGTGACAATATATGCCTCTGCCCGGCACCTACCAGGTTTCTCCACAGACAGGAGTTTCCTCCTCACCCTCCACCCCTGCCATCCACATACTCCTCGGAGACAGCCCTGCCACTGTCACACATTTCAGTGATGTCACAGCCCCCTCCCTGGGAGCCCCAGCACAATCATCCCCATGCCCAGCCTGAGCGCTGGCTGAGCTGAGAGAGGCGGGGGGGAAGGCGGTGCCTTGCTCCATCTGTCTCTGAGGCCTCACAGCTCCAGCATGAGTCCATCAGCAAAGAAGAGGCTCAAGAATACAGTGGTTTCCAAGGTTGGATTTGGGACTAGACCCAGTGGGGGTCTCAACAAAGAGTCCAACCATGCCCAGGATGGGGACCTTCCAGCCTGGGGGGAAGAGGGAGAGGTGAAGGGTGAAGGGAGGTCAGGAGAGTTAGAATGGGCTCCCTGTTTCCACCCCCAAACCAAGGTGACAAAACTCCCAGTCTAGGGTTGGTCACACCAAGCCCAGCCCAATGGAGAGGCATTATGGAGGCGTTCGGGGGGTTCCTACTGTGTTAGCATTCCCTCTCTCTCTCTCTCTCCCTCTCTCTCTCTCTCTCTCTCTGTCAGATGCAAGATGAGGAACCACGGGACAAGATACAGCAGCCTGTCAGCAAAGTAATTGCGCGGAACCGACTTAAAGCGGTGAGGCGCCCCGTTTTGGTGTCTGCTTAGGAGAGCCTGAGCCCCCATGCAGTGTTGCTCCTGGCTGCCAGGCCGAGTGACCCGGGAGGAGTCACCTGGCCCTGCCCTGAGCTGAGCTGAGCCAAAGTCCGGGTAGCGGGGTGGGACGCTAGCCCAGGAAAGCTGAAGCTTCAGTTTTTCTGGCTCCTCGCCCCTGGCAGGTGCTAAAAAACTTGGCGCTCTTGAAGCTGCTTGAGAGCTCGAACCCTCGGACCCAAGAACTGCATAACCTGGCCAAAAGGTGTTGGAATTCCCTGCTCAGAGTTCCGAAGATCCGCAGGGTCTCCTCTGGGTGAGCATGGCCCACCCGCGGCCCCTATCATGGGCCCAATAGCCACCTTTACTAGGAACGGGCACTATGCTAAGGAATTTCGCAACCTGCATTTTGACTAGGCTCTGGCAGAAAGGTAGTTATTTATTAGCCCTATTTTACTGAGGAGCTGAGGCTCAAGAGATGTTGTAACTTATCCCGTTAACTGGACTGGTAAGTGGCAGAGCTAGGATTTGAAGCCGTTCCCAGCTGATATCAGAGCTGTTGTCATAACCCTGGTCATAATCATCCAACCACGGGACTAACCACCACCTGGTGCTCTGAGCACGCGGGGCCACCCCTTCTGCCTCTCCCAAGTCAACACCACGCAGAGATTCACCTGCAAACTAGTCATTCTGCTGAGGCTCAGTTTCCTCACAAGTCACATCAGGATGCTAAGAAAGCTGACATGAGGCACCCGCTAAGTGCCAGGTACCATGCAAAGCATTTTCCCACTTAGTTTATTCTTCACAAAAATCCTGTTAGGTAGAAGGAATTACCCCAGTTTTACAGATGAGGAAACTAAGGCTCTGACAGGTTACCTTTCTTGCCCCAAATCACACAGATGGTAAGAGGCAGAAGCAAATGTGAATCCCAGTTTGTCTCCAAAGCCTGTGCTCTCCAAGCCGCTCTGCCTCTTCCCTGCCTCCTGCTTTGCAGGACTGTTGTGAGGGTCCTGGGCCTGACACCCAGTGGGCACCCAATCGGCAGTGGCCATTATTATCCTCTGTATTGTCATTATCCTGAGCCTGAGGCCTCTCTCTCTCCACACACACTCAGCTAGGACGGGGGCTGCCACATTGCAGGGGACTCAGTCTACGACAGACACCCCTGGGGAAAGTCTCCTAACCCCTCTAGGTAACTCCACCCCTCTGGCTCCTCCCTCTGAGTTGGCGTCCTCCCCGATGCAGGTGCTCAGGAAACACTGAACCAGAAGGGTCAGGATCATCTAGTCCCAGAGATTTCCAAGCCTTTTTAAAGCAGCAGAGCCACTCTTCAAATTTCTGTCCCCAAGCCCCAACTGTGTCGTTGGAGGGAAGCTATCCTGCCCCTCACCCTGCCCCTCCAGGGGTGGGGGGTGGTCATTTGAGATATTTTCTAAGATTTCTTGGAACACAATATGAAAAAAAAAAAACCCAAAAACAAAACACTGGACCAGTCCACTCCATCAGTTGAAATCCAAAGAGGCAGAACCCTAACCTAGTGGCCGATGCAGGCAATATATATTTCTAGGTATCCTAACTACTAGCCATTGCCTCAGGCCTTTCCAACCTCTCACATCCCTTCTGCCTGCCGGTCCTTATCACCACACCCCCTGCCCCCAGGAACAAGACCTCTGAGTGGTAGAGAAGCTTCTTTTCAGGCCCTCTCTAGCTTTCCTGACAGGCTCCCTGAGCTGACTGCAGAACCGTTGTCTCGGTCTAGCTGGAGGCCCAGGACCTTGGTCTTGCTCTGCTGACTGCCGCTCCTCTCCCTGCCAGCCACGAAGACGTCTGGGATACAGTAGAACAAAATAACAAAGATCTTCAGGAGGCTGGGTGTCCCAACAAGAAACTGGACTCCAAGAAATCAGAGCCCCTGAGGGAGCCTGAGGACCCGGAGCAGTCAAGGCCCAAGGCGGCACTGCGGAAGGGGCACACGGCACAGCAAGCAGTGCCGCACGAGGAGGAGCGGCCGGAGCCTGAGGTCCCCGTGACGTCAAAGGGTCGTGGCCTGCCCACTGGCCCTGGAGCCCAGGAGAGGCAATCACCCACTGTGGACCCCCGGGTCGTCTTCCTGAAGACCCACCAGTACAGAACTCCCATGGAGGACATGAAACAGTTGGACACAGCAGACCAGTGGATCTGGTGTGAGGGGCTGCCCACACGAGTCCACCTCCCAGGGCCCCGGGTGATGTGCAGACCATCCGCCCTGCGCTCGGTCAAGCGCTGCTGCACCCGCCTCTGCTCAGCATCACTTGAGCTGCCAATGGTCCGTCCATACAAGATGTGACAATGCCACTGCCAGGCTAGGGTGAGACACAAGCCCCAAGCCAGGCCCTGAGCTGGGCCCAGAGTCAGAGGGCTTAGGATCCAGAGTCTTGGGGGCTGTGGCTGGCGGTGCTGGGAGGCCCTACCTTCATGCCCAGAGAGGGAAGCCCAGAGAGGCGGAAGCCATTGACCAAGTCCACACAGCAGGGCAGTGGCCAGGCTGGGTCCTCTCAGGACCCAAGTAGGGGCTCTGGGGAAGGAGGGCACTGGGAGTGTGGTTCTGAGGTGGGTCATCCACTGCCTGGAGGCCTCAGGAGGGGCCATCTGCTATGGCTCAGAATCTCACAGAAGTCTGAGTAAGTGAGTTTAGGGATTTCCAAATGTGGGGCTAAGGGGAGGGGGCGTGGTCAAGTAAGGCTCTTCTGCATCTCACCCCCTCTTAGATAAACTCTGCATTTGTTTTATTTATTCGTGCCTCAAATAAGACCTACTCTGAACAAAAGTTCCTTAGCAAAAGAAAAAGTAGAAATACTCCAGCCCCTCCACTGAGGTCCCAAGAAAGGAAGGGGGTGATGGGCCTGGGGGTCCAGCTGAATGGGAAGCTGCCCCTTCAGCAAACCGGGCATCGCCAATCTGCCAGACACCGCAGCGCCCTGGTCCCTGAGCCCTCTCCCTGGACGCCAGCGCCCTCTGGGGGCGGTCTTAGCTCCTAACTGACGCTGAGGTCTCTGCTCGCAGGTGTGACCTTGGATGGGAGCCAGAGGTGTGCGGAGAGGGCGGAGATCGCGCAACCATCTCAACGGGAGGGACGGGCGGGAAAATTCGCGAGTCTACAAATAAAATCTCCCATATGGCGCTGAAGAATACTGCCGCTGGCTCTGCCTCTTTATCTGGGGCTGGAAAGGCTGGAGGAAAGAGGCCCTCCGCGGAGGTAAGGTGGGGGAGTGGGGAAGAGTGTGAATCACGACTTCAGGTTAATTCCACTCCATCCCCAGGTCCCTACGGTCAGTGTAGAAGCCGTAACAAAGAAGCAAGCGGGCTGCTCCCCTCCCCCGCCTCTGCAAGCTGGCCTCCTGAGCGGTGCTCTCCATGAAGTCATAGAAGGGGGGCGTTGGTTGTGCGCTTCCCGGGTGCCAGGTGCCTCACAATGGCCCTGCAGGCCAAGGAGAGGAGGAAACCTCCGCGGCGCCGAGAAGCTGAGGTCTTGCGCAGGCTCACGCCGCTGGGAAGTGGCACAGCAAGAACTCTAATCTAGGTCTCCTGGCTGCTCCCCGTTCCATTTCCCGAAGAAGGGGAAAAGGTGCAACGCAGCATCCAGCCCGTCACGCACGTGCATTGCGCCCTGATTATCACGGCTCCGGGTGTCAATAAATGCCAGCCGGAAATGTGAAATGTGCCCCGCCTGGGTCACGGAAAGCACCGAGTCAGGCGGGGAACTGGTACTTCGTCCTACTGCTCCCGTGGGACACAGCGCGTCCATCCTCCAACCCCGAGTCCGGTAGGAGCCACAGGGCCCTGAATATGCAGTTGGGGAGAGGAAAACAGAGGGGGCCCAGGCTTTCTCTGCACAAAGACTATGATCCTGGTCCTCCGTATTCCCCTGGAGACAGGCTGTGTGCAGCGGGCGCCCTCGGGAGAGCAGCAGAGCCATCGAGGGGCGCAGAGCCCTCCACCCTCACTCCCAGGGAGCCAGGACACTGATGGAGATCCTCAGATTGGGAGGGAGAGAGAAGGATGGGAAAGGCTCCCGCTAAACCGGCCGGCTCGCACCCCTCCTCTCCACTGGGGCTTAGCACCCTGACTGAGCATCCGCCAGGAGGCCGCCAGCGGAAACCGGGCCGCGAGAACAGCCTGAGCGGGGCCTGGCGCTGGACCGCTCTGCACCGCACTGCTCAGCCTCGGGAATGGCGACCTAACGCCCCCCGCAGCGCGCTCCCTACCTGCGGCCACCCAGGCGCGGCGCTCCCTTCCCGAGCACCCCGCCCCGCCCCCTCCGCGCAACCTCCACTCCCGTAACCACTTCAAGCTGTCTTCCCGCTAAGCTTGCAATCCAGCCCATTTCCTGGGTAGTCTCCATTTCGGTTCCCTCGCTGGGCATCATCAATCACACCAACCCTCTATTCGATCTTTCCTCCCAAGCACCTTCCGTTCCATCAACCTTCAAGTAAACTTCTGTCCAGCGTGCTCTATCAGCGGGCGATTAGGGCAGCGCACTCCCAAACAAAAAGCCAAACCCTGTGTGTGTGGCGGGGTGAGGGTGGGGGCATGCACTAGGCTTCATGGGAACCTTCCCCGGGGAGCCCCAAGTGGGGGCCCGAATGGCCTGAGCCTAGGCGAGGTTGGCAATTTCTGCTTTGCCCAATTGGGAGCCAGAGCTGGGCCCCAGCTTCCCACGGGCAATGCCATCAAGTGAGCAGACAGAAGCCTGTGTGCCTAGGCTGGGACCCAGCGTGGCCAGGGTGCCGCTGGGGAAGCAAGGATGCAGGCCTCATGCATGTGAATGACTTCCAGCAGTGCACTCCTTCCAGCCTTATCCCTTCCACCTGCTGGCATTAGGCTCAGGCAACCTGCCTCCCATAACCCCAGGACTAGGGTCTCCCCACTACCATTCTCCCATTGTTTAACCACTTCAACCTGAGGCCCCTCTTCAGGGCTCAGTCAGATCCTGATTTGGGCAGGATGCTGCAACCCATAATCTCAGGGATAAGAGACCGCAGGAGAAATGGCTCCCTAACAGTTAACTGGGGGAAATTTTTTAATGTTTGAATTTTAACAAGTCACACGACCTCTCAGAGCGTATTCCATCTGTTTATTAAAAGAGGGATACTAGTAGCCATTCCAGAGGGCTTTGCGCAAATCAGGCTTGATGTAGTTGAAACCAGTTTGTGGGACGTTGAACATTCGGCCTGTTTTCCAGGCCTCCTTGCTGTAATAAAGCCAGTACTGGCCCTGTTTCTCACTTATGAGCGGCTGCCTAACTGCCCACCTTTAGGGAACTAGCTGCTTGTTTAAAAAGCCAATCTTATGTTCACATTCACAAAATAGCATCTGGATCCCGGAGACTGTCCCTCTCCCAATCTGGGCCATGTACCACTTAAACATGATTGGTGGATGAATGGGGCTGAGGTTGCTGAGGCAGACAGGCCTAGCTTCTTATCAGCTGTTTGATGCTGGGGAAAGCTGTTTACTCCTAAGCCTCAGTTTCATTGTCTGCAAAATGGGGAAAACGGTGGTGCCTATCTCATTGGGTTAAGTTAGAAACATAAATCACTTTACAGTGCATGGCACATAGGAGCTCAATACTTGGTGGCTGTACCTAGGTCATGGGCAAGCCTGTCCCCCACCTAACAGCTGAGGCTTTGAAGAAAGATATCTCCTCTGTAAAATGGGAAGGGGGCAGCGGTCCCATAATTCTAACTGCTTAGATTCATGGATCACTTTCTTATAGGTCAGGCACAGCACTAAATGCTTTACATTATGACATCTCACTGAATCCTCACAAAAACTCAGGGAAGTTCAACCCAGGGAAGGTTAAGTAGCTTATCCAAGGTCTCAGAGCTGGTAATGGGACTCCAGGACTTAACCTTGCACTCCGTTGCAGCTCTCTATAGCCTTCTGACATTGGGCCCCTAGAAGTCTCCCTGGCTTGGCCAGGTAGGCAGGTCAGGGATTAAAACTCTCAGCTCCCTCTGCTCCCCTTGCTTCAATGTTGTTCTACCATCCTTTGCTACTTTCCTACAGAAAACCTCAAGCACGCAGTAGCTCTTAATTCCCTCTCCACAAAGAACCTCTCTTGTGCCCAGAACTGGCCTCTCCTTCCCCTGCCCCTGAGGCTGTAGTCCCTGGGTTACAGGCTGACTGCCCCCGGGGACTGCGAGAAGGAAGCTACCCTGATCCGGGAGTTGTTGAAGAGAGGCTAAGACTCTGCTTCCAGGGGAATCTAACCTGTTTGAGCTGTGCCTCACATAAGACTCACGGGGACCTGGAGCTTCCCGCCTCACTGGTGCCTGCTGGCTGCCATTCTGACCCCCATGTGGCTCTGATCTGGGCAGGCCTGCCTAGAACTAGGGGTTAGAGGCACCCTCTGAGCTAGACATCCCTTTCTCCTTTCCCGTCCTTCTTGCGGGTTATAAACTATTCTGAGCACCAGCTATGCACTAGTCTCCACTTGTCTCTCCAAATGGTAGTGGACGGGATGGGGCGGGGCGGGGGGGGGGCGTCTAGACGTCAGACCCCTAGAAAGTCAAGAGCTACACCAACTCAGTGGTAGGGTGGCGGTAACTTTCGGATCTAGGTACTTTCCTTTATCCTTTGGAAATAAAAATATTTCCAACATTCCTATGTTCACTTGGAAATCTGTGGCCATATTTAATGTACTGCCTATCAGTTTTTCTTGGAAAGCAAGTAATATTTACACAGTTTACATCCTTAGTATTTAAAACAATACAGTAGGATGAGAAAGTATGATTATAAGGTGCAGATTGTTTAACCACTAAGAACTTAAACATCTTTAACTATTAATCTCTTCAGAATGAGTTTATTAATGTCACTACCGGAACCCAAATCCTGGCTCTGCCAGCTCCTAACATGTAACCTTGAGCAAGTTCCTTACAGTTTCCTCATCTGTAAGATACAGATGATGCTATTTCCTACTTCAGAGGGTTGTTGTGAAGATTAAGTGAGCAAGGAGGTGCAGAGCACTTAGTCTACTGCTGGACATCTCTTTAGGAAGCACTCAATGGATGTTATTTATTACTTCCATTGCCCAGTCCTCTCTGGAACTTGCCTCTAGACACTGCTTTGTCACTTTAGAATTCATAAAAATCTCAGGAAACTCACATATGTTTGACCCCCAACTGTCATTCAGCTTAGTCATGATATTATTAAAAAACAAAAAAAACCCACCTTGGCTCCCCTGACCTTTGGCAGTTTTCATAAATCCAACTGACACTCAAGGGGCAGAGATCTGTCATCGAAGATGTGCAGGACAGCACCAGCCTTTGTGGGAAACTCCCAAAGAGGTGTGCCAACACAGCTGGAGCTACCACCACCAGAGCTGGCCACGGGAGCCTGCGGCCACACGATGTGAGTGCTCTGAGGCTTGCCTCAAAATAAAGTTAATCACCTGCCTTTAGAGTCTGGGGGGAAATCCATCCACCCAGGGGAAGCCATTTCAGCTGGTCATACCTCCTGGACCCCGCAGCCAGGATTAGAATCTCATTAACAACCTGCTTCCTCCCAGCTTGGCTAGAGTTCCCTGAGTTACTGAGGTGCCTCACCCGAGCATTTTCCCAGCCTCTGCCCAGGCATGTTCACTCTTAACCCTTCATCCTGTCGGCCTCAACTTCCTATTCTGCAGGGCTGGGAGCCAGGAGGCTAGAAAGGCTTCCTGGGGAGATGGCAAAAGTCCCCAACCGTGTAGCCCTAACGCTGAAAGCTGAGCACTGACAGCTCTCTCAGGCAGGCTCTGGAGGACCCAAAGGGGAGCAGCAATGGTTTCCAGGCAGAAATGGGTCTAGACCAGTGCATTCCACTGGGCACGTTCAGAAGTCACTGGCAAATGGCAAAGGTACCCTGAGCGTCATGGCAGTTCACCCAAGGCGTGGCGGAGAAGGCTGCAGGCGGGGGTGGGACACAGGTGTCCCCGGCACTTAGTGTTTTAACCAGGTGGAGGAATACTTGGGTTCAGGAAAAAAAGAAGGTGGCCTAATCATTCTGTATAGCTCCCGAGCACAGCATTACAAAATAAGCACAGGCAGAACCGTGGAAAATACTGTATTTATGTACACGGGAAGGGCAGCTGTAAGCCCCTCACAGAGGACACTCCACCCCGAAGAAAAATCTTAGTAGCAAATTCCTATCTCCCTCGGCACTATCAAGTGCACCTCAAGCTGGAAGGCTGGGCTTCCTGTGTCTGGGCGCCCACTGTACCCTTCCCACTGTGTAATTCCAAACAAGGCGGGAAAAGGGAACTATTGCCAGAACGGAGGTCCGTGGGAGCTGGGATGCCCGGTCATTCCTAGAGAACAGGCAGTGACTCTAGTTCGAAGGTTAGATGGGGAGCGACGCTAAGATTCTTCTCTGGGTCCTACGGCCTGCAATGTTGAAAGCTGGCAGCAGGGTGGAGGCCCAGTAGAGAGAACCGGAAGAAAGTCAGTCATGGGTTCACTGGTGTACACACACATGTGTGTAGCAGGACACAGGTTGTGCGTTTTCTTTCTGCTTGATGCCTCCACCTGCCATCCTCTCACTGACAGCAGCCTGCTACTTTGCGCCTACATCTTTCTGTGGCTCTGGATCCAGAAACCCAGTGTTGCTCCAAACAGAACAGCTGCAGTCCAGCAGCATGGCAAAGCTAACAGCTGTCCCAGGGAGGTAAGACAGGTGGCTAGAAGAGTGGTTCGCTGTGATCAGATACCCTTGATTATTATTTTTTTTCCTTTTTAAAATAACAGGCTGGTGACAGGTATGGTGGCTCAAGAGTGGCATGGTTCTGATTCTGTTATTACCCTGAAAGAGGTCCCCCTTGCCGACCTCCCAGATACCAAGGCTTCAGTGAACGGGGGCCGTTCTTGCAGCTGTGATCCTGCCTGCTACCTGCCTTCTTGACGGGGCCTCACTCTCTCTCCCACACCAACAGAGACTTCACATTTCCCGGGTTCCTCTCAGGCCTGGGCTGGACCTCATCAGGACAGTTGGAGCAGCCCAAGGTGTCAAGTGCCCAGCTGGGTGTCCAAAGGACCTGACTCTAGACACTGGACTTCGGGGCTGAGTTGAGGGGGATCTCCTTGAGCTCCGACCGCATGCACAGGTACTCCCCGATGACAGCCATGAGTGCAATGCACACGGCCTGGACCAGCCACCAGGTCAGCGCCGAGGGGAAACGGGAGCTGTAGAACCAGCAGCCCAGGAGGTGAAAGAAATGGACAGTGACAGTGAAATCCAGACACTGCTTCCCTCGCCGGATGAAGTACAGCAAGCCCAGGGCACTGTGGGGAGAGGACAGCAGTGAGTTGTCACTGGGTTGTCCTGGCCTTAGATTAGGTTATTTGGGGGAGCAGGGACAATTAGGATGACAGCACAGTGGTCAGAAGCAAGCGAGAGAAGTGGGAGGCAGGGGTTACATTATCAGATGCCCAGAGGAACCTGGCAGGTGATGCTGAGAGTGGATCAGGCTGGGGAGAAGGAAAGAGTACGAGCTTGATGATCAATGCAGCTGCCACTCAGAGGGATCCCAGCGATTGGTGGGGACTGTGGCAGCATGAAGCATACCTGTTTCATCTAAAGTGCGGCCTGCAGCTAGGCAAGTCACCATGCTAGAATGCTGGCCTGGAATCAATCGATCATCCCATTTTTTAAGAGAAGCCAGAAATCTGTATTTTTAACATAAAATATCCTGATTTTCAACTAAGTGAAAAAAGTCTTAAACACCCTGCATGGGTTGACAACTGTGTAAGCCAAACAGAACATATCTGGGAGCCAAATTCAGGTCAAAGTCACCCCACCAGTTTTCAACCTCCAGTGTAAGGTCAAGAACAGTAATGTGAAAGGCATCGTTCTAAGTACCTCCTGTGAATTAACTCATGGAACCCTTACCACTATGAGGTGGGTAATATTATTAGCCTGATTTTACTGATGAGGAAACTGGGGCTTAGACAGATTAACTTGTCCACAGTCACTAGACTAGTGGTAAAGCTGAGAGTCAAAGCCAAGTGAGTCGGCTTCCCGAGCCTAAGCTCTTAGTCACTTCCCTAAACCACCTCTCAGTCAAAGCCCTCAGGGTACAGATGAGGACCCAAGACCTAGAGAGAAGGGAAGGAACTTGGCCAATGGCACATGGGCCAAGAATAGACTGACTCCCGGTGCAATCCTTTCCTCATCTGATTCCACATCAGGGAAGTGGTCTGAGATGAAAGC